AATATGCGTTTTTGCTGCCTGTTGCAGCGCTCTAGCGCTGCACGGCAAAAACGCATAAAAACCGAACGCGGTTTAGACATACCGAGGTGGAGCTGAGTTTTAGAGGTGATATGTGATGAGTATGCAACGTACTGCTTGTGATTCACGGGTGCGGCTCAGCGTTTCACAGTTTCTTGCTGCTTCCTTCAAGCAGCGGGGCGAAAGCGCCGTGTTTTCGCTGCCGCAGTTCGCCGAGCCTCCGCCGGCGGTTTCAACTCAGTGAGGACAGTCTGCTTATGTCATCTGAGGTTTTGAAGGCAACCGCGTCAACAGAGAAGTCGGGAGATAAGAAACGCGGGATCGGATGGTTTGTGGCAGCGCTGTTCATTTTGGCTGATCTGGTCGGTGGTGGTGTAGTGGCAATGCCGGCTGCTTTCGTGCAAACAGGTATGCTCGGAGAAACTCCTTCTTTCGATTTTTTCCTCCCTCCCAGTAAGCGTTTCCGCTGTAGTTTTTGACGTGAGAGCGAGAAACCTCAGTATTGCATGCCAAAGCCTTACGTAGGATATCGGCAGCAGCGCAACCTCTCTGGCGTGGAGGGGTAGTATCGCAATCCGCAGAAGGTACCGAACTTCTGTTTTTTTCACTCACTCTGGATCCGTCGGCTCTCACTGTAGCCAGCACTGCATCAAGCGACGTTGCTCATTTACGGAAGAGATTGCATTGGTTGGACACGAAGCTGCACGAAGTGGAGCAGCAGGTCTTATTGTTAGAGAAGGCTACTCCGGATGGTGTAGAAATTTGCGGAACCAATGAAATAGCAATTCATTGGTTTTTTTTTTCAGGGCTTGTCTGTGGTCTACTGTTTATGATAATAATTTGCGCGGTATTTGCGGTGACCGGATATCTGCTCGCTGATACGTGGGAAATTATGCGTGACCGATGGCCCGAGTACCGCGTGCATTGCCGCAAGCCATACCCAGAAATGGGACTTCGAAGTATGGGGAAAAAAATGGAGTTCGTACCCCATTCTGACATTCACTTCTAAAGTCCTCCTTATTTGTACCTTCTTGCAAATGCATGTATGCAAGCTTTATCCGTCTTTTCTGAGCTAAAATAGATCTTGAGTGTTAATCAAATAGTTCCTACCCTCAGAAAAAAATTCGTTTCACCAGTTGGCTTCTATTGGAATATACCGCTGGCGAGTGCCTTTCCGTGGAAAATAAGCTGTGGAAAAAGTTGATAAGCGATTGCTGAGATAAAAACTCTGAGG